TAATGGAGCATTCTGGAAACCACAGGTGACCGGCCCCAGCTGAAACCAAACTAACCCCAGCTGCTGCTTGGATGCAGCCGCTCCATGGCGGTGGAGAAGGAGTCGTTCAAGTGCAGGTGGGTGGCCGAGCACTGAGCAAGCCGAGCACTGTGGCTGCGGAAGGAGGCCCCGAAATCCTAAAGCTTACACCCAGACGCTCCAAACAGCCCTTGGTCCCTCAAAACCATAAAGTTTTGAGACCCCAAACCCCTCCATAGGATTCGGGTCCGACCCCTCCATAGGTTCGGGTCCAGGAGCGTTTGGGTATAACGCTTTTCACACCGAGCTCTTCCGGTCCAATATCCGCCAAACATCAGTGCACCCCGAGCCCAACATCAGTGTCACACGTGGTCGGGTTCATCCTTCGGGTTTCTGTGGCCAGGCGTTGATCCAGTGCCAAAGACCCATCAAACACCTGCTGCTTCGCAGGAACTCTTAGCCGTTCGTTGGAACTCTTAGGCGTTCGGCAAAACTTGATGCCGAAGGGACAGGTGTTAGGACTACCCTTTCTACCTAATAACAGACAACAACACACCCTGGTGGAGTTGAGAACAGGCGACCTATCGACCACCAGGGCCTCAGAGTTGTAACAAAACACCAGGCGTCAGGACAGCGTTTCATCGCGTTTCACCCGCTGAAGCTCATCCAAAAAAACCATTGCTGATCTAGACCACTTGCAATCTGACCCACTGCTTAGTCTCAGTGAAAAGGGGCTCTGACTCCGCTGATCGAGGGGTTGGACAGGTCTCTCCTGGAGGATGGCGTCCAAGTGCTGTGACTCGGTGCTATGACTCGAGTTGCACGTCCTGTTGTGCATCGTCTTTGCCATGCGCGTTTTGCAGCCAAGCTAAAAAGGACTAGGACGACTAGGACTTGTATGGACTCGTGCATTGTTTTCTTCATGCAGCTGCTAGGGAGTGCATATAGTTATGTTTGTCTTTGTTTACTGTGACTAATTCTGAAACCCGAGGAAAGGACTGTGACTATTGTGGAGAATGTTACAGACCCCGAAGCCGATGCGAGAGAATGGATCTGAGAAAGACATGCATGCCTGAACCTTCAGTTTAGCACCTTTTTGGAGCCAATTCAGGGTTTGAAGCACTTTTGTTGGACTTCTGTGGCTATGTTTTTTCATTAAGTGCATTTTGTTGTTGTTTTGAGGATTCTGAGCATTTTTTGAGATGCTGAAGACTGGATCCTACCTTGTGATTGTTTAGTGCCGCCCGTATCACCTTCTTATTCTGCTGGCCAACAACGAAAATGCTCTGACTCTGGGTGGTAAGCCAATCGAAAGGAGGAGGTGTTCTCAAATGTTTAGTTTGTTTTGGAACCGAGGTGCAAACCCGCAAAATGGTCACAAATCGCCGGAAAATGAGTTCAAATTAAACAAGTGTTGAATGAACCCATCCAGTTGATTTGGCAATTTAACAACATGTTTGCATATATTTGTAGTTTCCCATACACTGGGTGTGTGGTGCAGCAGTGTGGATGAACGACCAAAAAATAGTTGGATATTGGGTTCCATGCGCGTTTGTTGAATGGTGGTAGCGTTTGTTGCTTGAATGAGCCCTTTTTGACATGAGTTGTCATGAGTCTATTTTGTAGCAAAGGAAGTTTCAGGTATAAAGGAAGTTTCAGGTATAAAGGCAGGATCGTTCAGCAATTGTGTTGAAAACTTCTAACTTGCCCTGCTCCCAAGTCGTGCTACTGAGACTGTACATGACTGTATGATCAACCTGTGGCGGAGAGATGGAGCAACCATTAATCCAAACCAGTGGTAACCAGCGACAAGCAATTTCGTAAAGAGCGGTCATGCAAAACTGGAAGAAATGCTAGCCACTATAGCCGCTCTCAAAAGCGATATGTCAATTACATCATCAGCTGTGTTAAAAACATCCTGGGGACTCCAAAAGCCAGAAGCTCCCTTTTAAAGCAATATCCTGGTTGAATCATGCTCTCTTCACCAGACACTTTTTTTGATTTCAGTGGAGGAGTTTCTTCTGAAACATGCATGTACTGTACTGAAATGCATGTATATATACCTGAAGTCATGCAGCTTGTTTTTGTTCACTCATGCATTTTGGGGTGCAGGAATTCTTGCACCAAGTCAGCACGACGGCCACCGTGCGACGGCCACCACGCGACTGCCACGGCCTGCACGCGCTCAGGAAGGTGCTGGACCTTGATCTCCGTGCCCAGCTTCGACAGCGGCTTCTTCAGGCCGCGCAGGCGCCAGAGCTTTGGGGACTGGTAGATATTATGGAAATTGCTATATAAATGTAGAGGTGGGTTCGGCCAGCCGCAACTATAAATCGACGGTTCAAGAAGACCTCAGGTGACCAGCTCAAACCGGTCATGGCATCGGCGAGAAACACGCCGGTTTCGTGTTCACTTCGGTCGCTGAAAAGAAGTGTGACTCTCCGATTCACATGTTTATTTCCTCTTCGGAAAACAACCATCAACCACCCATGGGAGTCGAGAATTTCTTTTGGTCTTCCATGGGGCCAAATTGTTGCACTGATGAAGCTCTTAGAGTGTGCCATGCCACCTTCGAAGTGCTTCCCGAGGAGACGGTGTGCCATGTCTTCGCCGAGCCGAAGACGGTGCCATGTACCCTCCCTACAACAATCATTGGAAGTGGACAACCCCCTCTTGGTAGAGGAAAGTAGTCTTCCAAGGGGCCACTGTCCACTTCCATGTTAGTTCCAGGGAGTGTACATGATTTTCTTCCGTAAAACCTTCAAACAGTCTGCCATTCCGAAGCCTTCCAATGCTCTGGGTCTGATGTCATCTGATGCCGTTTGATGCAAGCCTTCTGAAGATTAGCTCCCCATCCAACTACCGTGTGCGTCCCTCCCAACGCCTGTGCAGGAATTCCCTGAGTTCGTTCCAGGCTCTTTGCGATGCGGGGGAGAGCTGGGTCTCAAGAAGCATCCAGGGATTGGGGAGAATGCCGGACATCTGCTTTGATGGCATTTGGAGGGAATTCAGGTGGGAAAGAACAGGGAAATCATTTGTGTTTGCCCCCAAAGTCACCTAGGCAGCCGTTTTGCCACCTGTCAGGACATGTCAGACATGTACGGCTTCCTCGAACCAGCTCAACCAGCCTTTAAATGGTCTTTGAAGGCTAAGGTATACAGCCTTTTTTGTTGCACCTCCGATCTTTCACCAAGCTTGGTACGTGCACTTGCAGGATGGCAGGAATTAGACCTGCGTTCTCGCTGGTGCCCCTGAATGGACTTCTATGGTGGCCCAGTCAGGCCATAGTCACGATCCACTTTCAGCTGGATATGGTCTCCTTAGGGCTCCAACCATATCCTCAAAAGGTGATTAGATCCCTGGCACCCACCCCAACCAGCTTCGATAACGGAGGGGCCAGGAGCGTCATTTGTTTTTAAAAGGTGTCGCCGAATTGGACAGTTGCACTGAAGTGATAGTGATAGTGAAAAAGAGGTTTGACCAACTCTGAAGTGCTCCTTCTTGCAAGCTCCCAGATGGAAATCGAGTTACAACAGATCCGATCGCATTCACCAGATGTTGGGTTCCTTGTGAGATGTGATTTGACCCAGGCATAATGTCCTATTTGCAAACATTTGTGTAAGTCACTTTACCAGTTGTGATGCCGCTCGCTGGTGAGTGTGAATAACACCAATTTGCTTCAGGGGAAACTGCGATGGCAAAATTGCTATTTTCCCGCCGTTTAGTAGTAGTCTAATGTGCTAACCTGCCCTTTGTTACTGATTAGTAGCTTCTTGTTCCTAGTAGTAAGGCCAGGAGTCCCTAGTAGCGTCCTTGCTCCTAGTAGCGATGCCCTTTGTTACTAGTAGCTTTGTATAATACGTCTATGTCCACACAAAGGATCTACATTTGTTTGAACAAAAAGTGCCTCTCTTCTCAAAAACGCGTCAGGCGCACAGAAGCTGGTTCTCGGCAGCTTTGGGGCCTTAGGCCAGTCAGCTGAAGCTGATCTCCTTGGTCCTTTCTGCCAATGAAATTGTTATATACCTAGTCGTGGAATATTGTTGAACAAAAAACTCTTGAACTCTGACTTAGTCATTTACAAGTCATGCAGCCTCCAAACCTGCTTCAGCCCCCAAAAAATCCAGTGCCGCGACTCATGCTGCTTCAGGGAATCCTGCCGCCTTCCACCACCCAGTGGTGCGGGAGTGCCGGTGGCCTGGTAGAAGATGGGCGAGATTCACTGCCGTCACCTTCGTTGGGACCGCTCTTTTCCATCTTTTTAATGACTTAAGTCACAAGTCCGAGATGGATTGCGGATTTGGAGTCTTTGGGGAGGGACACAAAAGCATTTGGACAAGGGTTCTGACCATCGTTGGGACGTCTTTTGAAGGGCATACCGTGGGATGATGAGTAGACACAACATGTTTGGAAATAAATGAAGTTCCAAGAGATTGAGCCAGTTTGGGAATCATACAATGATCTCACTATTGAGAGGTGGCACGTGAGCAGGAACATGAACAATGGATGAAGCTATGAAGCGGACCCGCAGGAACCACAATGCCCATGAGTCATCTCGTTTCGGTGTTTTCATGGCTCGTCTTGCGGGGCTTCATGACATGCACGAAGATGACATCACCTTCACCTGGTTGGAAGGATGCAGATTGATCAACAGCTTGGGGAAAAAAACGATGGTTTCGACAGAAGAAATGCCACTGAAGAATGCGAGGGAAGGCCTTGGCAGCATTTGCATCATGACGGAGAATCAAGTTGGCCCACATACTGTGGTTCTACGATAGGCTTATGTGGTTCTGGCCGTCCAGAGAGAGGTTTGTGGCCGAGTCCAGAGAGAGGTTTGTGGCCGAGGTTTGTGGTCATGGGCCCGTTGCACATGGGAGTTTTGTTCGGTTGCGCCATGCTGCGCCCACTTGGGGTAGTGTGAACTGAAAGCCAACAAACAAAACATATACTGTACATGTATATATATATATATGTGTGGAAGAGATGCTCGTATCTTATCTCATATATGGCTGAGCCCATTTAGCTGTTGGCTTGCCAGGTGCGGTTGGAACCTGCTTCCGTTGTTCCTGAGGAATAAAGAAAGACCCCAGACAGCAGTTCATAGGCTCCCACATCCTCCAACCCATGTCATTTGGATCCGAGGCTCCACTGCATGGCCTCTGCGACACGCCTCTTCCGCGCACACCTGGCTGCTACGCACGCGGCGCGTGCCGCGCAGGCGGCGCACGCTCCCCGGCGGCTGGAGCTGCTGTGGGATCGGCTTTGTATCCGACTGAAAGGCGCAGGGGAGATGATTTCTACTGCATTGTTGTGTCCGCTCTGAATGATAGGGTATGCTCCAACCAAAGAAGTCATTGTGTTTTTGGGGAACCCAATTCAAGAGCCAAAGTGAACTTGGATTGGGACATTCCAAAGTGCTGGGAAGCAGAAGCATTACACTGACTTAGGACTAGTGACTAGGGTTCCATGTGCAAGACACTTCTCTTGTTCTATGTACATGGTTTAGGACTAGGGAATCGCTTCTTTAAACTTGGTTTTCTTGTTGAATGAAACACGGATCCTCACTATTCCTCACCGGCCTTTCTTGGAGGCTCCAAGATGTGTGGCGAGACAGTCCACCGGGACGTGGCCAAGTTCAAGCTGAAGGAAGATGAGATCTTCGGTGGTTGGATGAACCTGGACTGCCCAGCTGTTGGGATGGGCCGAGCTTGGGGTGTTCAAGCGGCTTTGCCGACGGCGTGCACATGCTGAGCAGCATGTGCCGTATACGACCCGTGATTCAGCAAATTTGGCTGAGGCGTAGAGCTCGTTCTGCTTGTCCAGTTAATACATATACATACATTGAATACATATAATAGTATCTATTTAATACAGTATACATTAATACATACATTCATGTATTTATTTAACAGAAGGGCGGGTCATGGGGGGTGGTTTTTTGGGTTTTTGCTTTTAGGAATTTTTAGAAGTTTGAAGGAAACTCTGCTCCAAATAACAGAAGGAAACTACACTTCTGCTCTGTCTACTTCTCTGCTCTGTCTGGTACAAACGTCTGCTTTCTACTTACTCTGGCTGCGTCAAGAC